AAATGTGCAAATGTGGAAATAAAAGCAAATGTGCAGCCCGGCTACCCCTCTGGGATGCTACCGGTGCCTGCCCCCTCGGATTGTTCCTGGTTGCCATTCGCCTACCCTCCATTTCTGAAAAGAAATTTGAACGAGTCGTTAGACTCCTATCAATTTCAATTGACGGAAGAACGTTATAGACACGTATTGGCCCAAGTCACTGCCATACCAATTGTTAAGGGTACTATCTTAACAATTAGAGACCTTGCAAAATTCCTAGGTAACACTAGTTCTATGAATGTCAAAATACAATGCTCATGGTTTTCGGTAAAAATTCCTTTTTGCAAAATCTCTTGTGAGAGGTTGATTACATAGGTTAGAACTGACCTGGCTCTGATACCACTTAATTGTCACGCCCCAGACCGCATCTAGGCGCGTGTACAACCGCCGTATGACCAAGTAACGTCACTCGCAAGTTAACATGTCTTAATCATACAAGGCGTCCTTGAATATAATATATCCATACTCAGTAGTAAACATACACAACAACATCACAGTTTAGATTAAATTGAATAGCGGAAATATTCAATAATCAATCGTGGGCCACACATGGCCAAAACGTAGGCTCGCAAGCCAAAACAATGTATTAATACAAAAGTATCCATGAGCATAGTTTATCGTTTGAAATAGTAGAGGGAGCACGAACCACGTCTTCCTCTGGATTCTCTCCACTCGTGCAAAGGTGTAGATGACAAGCCTTAACTTCAACCTGAAATGGTGGGCCCCCCGAAGGGGTCAGTACAAGTACCGAGCGAGTAGCAAGCTAAATATAGAATAACTAACGTTTCAAGTATAAGACCCAAACATAGGGTGATACTTATGTAAATAGTCCTCTCCCCCAAGTTAAGAAATACTTAATAGTATATATACACTTGGAAAATACCCGATCCGAAGATCACCGTTTATTTGGGGAAAATAGTAATAACCAATATTCTTGACTAAAACCCCCAGCTCACCCATATAACTATGAGTGTATAGGACTCCTCCTAATCTTTATTTCAACTTCATAATTTATGAGTGTTAAGGACTTTTAGTCCTAGGGTCCTCCACCAAGTTTGTAAGGTGAGTGTTAAGGACTTTTAGTCCTAGGGTCCTCCACCAAGAGTGTAATGTGAGCGTTAAGGACTTTTAGTCCTAGGGTCCTCCACCAAGTTTATATTTGAGTGTTAAGGACTTTTAGCCCTAGGGTCCTCCACCAAGTTTATATTTGAGGTTTAAGGACTTTTAGTCCTAGGGTCCTCCACCAAGTTTATATTTGAGTGTTAAGGACTTTTAGTCCTAGGGTCCTCCACCAAGTTTGTATTTAATGCTCAACCTCCTATCAACCTAGATAGAGTCTATATCATATTCATAGCTAAATAACTTCATAAAGCTTATGTATTTCAATTCATGCAAGCCATGCATCTATATCAATTTATAATTAACTAATACCAACCGGTATTAATTAATCCATCATCAATCGGTCAACGTTTTCGTTAACCGTCACTTCAAGACTTATACATACCAACTTAATCATCACATATATTAAGTTAACAATATTCATTCTATGCTTCCTTTACCTTTCAAAGATAGTATGCAATTTCATAGAAATTCTCATATCATATTCCATTCATATTCATGTACTTCATTTCATACAAGCCTAATCATTTTGGCTAATCACATGTTTAAACATCTTTTAAACATCATTATGAATACATATGACATTTATTTAGGTAATCTCATAATTAACCCAAAAGTTATAAGATATTAAGCCGTCCACTCACCTTAAATGAGCTTTTAGCATGTTCTACGCTCCTCGGTTGAACTCCGGCGAAATTCCGACGTAATCCGACGGAACTCCGGCAAAACTCCGATGGACTCTAGAAACACCTTAATTATGCTCCTAACATGGTTTTATCATCACAAAACTCATATCAATACAAATAACCTCTAAAAGGTTATTTTCCGGCGAATCGGTCGTTTTGGCTTCTAAGTCCGTTCTTGAACTTGAATTACCTTCCAACCCTTCATTCTACACTTCTAAACATGTAGAACAATCCTAGGGTCTCCTCATATGATGTGTAATCCATATGATAGTTAAAAAAGAAGAGAAAAGTTAATATAAGGTCATTACCTTAATTCTCCACACTTTTTCCTATCTTTTTCTTCTTCAAACACTTCTTTTTTGGACCTCTAATGGTTGAGCTCGAGTTTGGCTATGGATCAATGGAGTTGCAGAGTCTTCTCCCTCTTTTTTGATGATAGGGTCGAGCATAATGGAGGGGAGGAGTGAGAATGGCTCTTTTGTCTCAATAGGCCAATGAGTGTGAGGTAATAGGCCCACCTCATGTCCTCTCCCAATTCATGCATCCTCTCACCCTCCTTCCCATCATGTTGTACAGCCCCCCAATCAATTTGAGCTCAAAAAACGTGGGGTGGCCCCCACTCATGTGGGAGGTCATCCCTTTATGTCCTGAAATGTACAATTGGTCCCAAAAGTTGTATTTTTCGGACTATTTTAAATACATTTTATTTTATCGGGGAATATAAAATATATTATGTGCTTTTACTCATTATGAAATTTATAATGAATTCCTAAATTTTAATTTATAAGCCTCCGAAGTTCGGTTCGGGCTCTTATCTGTTAAATTACCAGTACCGGTAATTTGGGCATCTTTTGACCAATCGGTCAACTCTGGGCCTTTCCATGGCTCAAATGAAATATCCACCACTATATATTTATTCTTTAGACCAAGATGAATAAAATATATGGTCTCGGGAATGTCGGGCGACCCCCGCTCCCGGTGTGGGCCCCACGTGCAATATACTATTCACGCGAATGAAATAATGGAAATTTATAACTTCGTAAATTCATTAACCGTTTAACAAGGTTCATTACATTATTTACTTAAAAGAAAATATAATTGGGGACAGTGTTACACAGACCCCATGACCCACATACTCAGAAGGCTAAATACAAGCACAACCGACACCCCATGTGGTCCTTTATTTGCCAGATGGTCCTCGGTCGGCCAAGACAAGATAGATCTCAGAATACAGTCCAGAAACCCAGGAACAATAATGGGTCCTCCATCGGCCAGGCCCTGCGTTTGCCTGGTCCTCCGTCGGCTAAAAAGGTTCCAGTAGACTAGAACTTATACTTAGTCAAATAAATCATGTACTTAGCCCCTCAGAGGCCTTATTTTTTATTGGGCCTCTTAGGCCCAAGACTTGGGAACCCAAACCCAAGACCTGGGAGCTCAGACCCAAGACTTGGGAGTCTAGACCCACATTTTCCCTATAAATACTCCCCTTAGGGGTAATTGTAGGGGATTGAGAAATATTAATTGCCCACTTTCTCTCTCTAGCTCTGACTTATCTATAAGATTACCTCTATCATGATCCTTTACGGTAACTTAAGTCAATACAATCAGAAAAGTAACTACAACCTTACTTGTTTTTATTATTACACAATTCAGCTCGTAAAATCAAAAATTACGTGTTTGGTGAAAAAGTTGGTTGATAATCCTGATAAGCCGAAAAATAGGGTCACCAAACGGCCTCGTAGTATACCAAATTGTAGAGTGCAATTCTGTTGACCCCTTCCTTCCCTCGTTGCCATGTGAGCAATGTTCTAAAAGGCGTAAGGCGTGCCGAGCCGGCACGACCAAGTGTTAAGCCTTTGGAGCCTATGCGGGCTTAGGCGGGGCTTAGGCGTGAAAAGACGTTTTGATTTTTTATCATTTATTTTAATTTTCATAGATCTATTTTAAGTATTTAAATCTAATATTAAATAATGTTATTCAAAAACAAAGATTTGTGGAATCCTATATCTAGCACATATAGAGTATAAATTTACTTATTACAGAAAAACTAGAACTCGAAAAAGTAGTTTAATGATAAAATATTTATATTTGTAAAAATGTGACTTAGTAACATTTAGTTATTAAATTTATATTCAAACTTATCATTATAGTGAATATAAAAATATATTTACAATCACTTTAATCATATTTTTTATCCATAAATTTTATTACCTTAATATTTAGAAAATACTCTATTAAAAGTTACAATGACAAAGATATCGACAATGATAACAATAAAATACAATGATAATAATAACTAGAATTCCAACAACAACGATGCTTATATTGATGTTTAATTATAATAAAAGATAGTAGGATACACTTGTTTACCATATTTCATACTAATATAAGCCTATATAAGAATAAATAATTTACATTATAATTTAGAAATACCCACTCTTAAAAGTATTTGATGCAGCCTGTCTAGTCAACACACTATATATCTGGACATCCCCTTCGTACTGATATGTGTGATATGGCAAGCAGCGCCTCTTTCTACCTTCATTGGCCAGTCCTATTATGTATGGGCTAAAAAAAAATCAATTGAAAAGTTAAATTTTGTAGCCCAACACGCCTTTTGTCATGCATTTGCATATGCGGGGCGTCTTAATGACGCCTGGCGCTTAAGCCCGCCTAAGCGGCGCCTTTTTGGACCTTTTAGAACACCGCATGTGAGGCATCTCATTTAATTTTTTTAAAATTGTTATAACTTTCCTTGTAGTTAATCAATTCTTATAAAAGAATATCAGATTGAACAATTTTTTAGATATTTGCAATAGTATCAACGTTGCATATAAAATTTGAAAAAAGTTGTTTGTCTTAATATTCGTTTTTATCTTTTGATTTTATTTAAATTTTTGGTATGTAATATGAATACCCTTTGAAAGATGATAAAAATTGAAAAAATTTGTAATATTTATCGAAAAAATTAGATTGAAGTTGAAAAAGTTATACTAGTAATACATTACTAATAATAAAGAACTGTCTTTTATTTTACATGCGAAACAAATTTGGTTTCCATTGATCCAAAAAGTGGAATTTCTCACCCCAGGAGCTTCACCCCATGTCGATAGGATGGTGGGGAACAAATTTGGTTTCCAAATTTCAGAGTAAAGCGGTATATTGAACCGGGCGTAGTCAGGATTGGCCTAATAATGATTAATTATACGAGAATTTACTACGGAGAAATCAGTAATCCTCTAGAGATACTTTCAGCCAATGAGATAGCGAATACAGAGTCAACTGGATCGTCATCGCACCGCAGCACGAAATCTGAGCAATACACGTGTACTTATACTAACACAAAAAACGATCATCTCGTCCGTGATTATGTTCTTTGACAGAAGAGATAAATCACGTTCATGATATATCTCCACAACCCCATTTGTCATCCGTACGCAATCTCAAAAGTTAAAGCCGTTCCAAGTCCAGACCAGCCTCTTTCCTTCCTCAACAGCTCGATCCAAGTTTCTTCGAGGTAACGTTTTCTCTCTTGATTTCGTTATGCTTTTCTATCCTTTGGTCGTTCATTGATCAATTGTGCCGAGTATCTTGATATCCTTGGAAACTGAGACAATCAATCAATTGATTTGTTCCATGGTTAGCTCTTTTGTTTTTGAGAGATGAGGTTATGGATCTGTACTCGTTTTTTCTTTAATCCGGGAGCGAAACCACCGATTCGGATGGGATCGGTTACTGAATTGAATAATTTGAATGGTTCGTCCTACTTGAAGATCGGTGGTGGAAACCCTAGCTTCATGTTTTCCTGATCCATTAACATTTGTTCTCTGTTTCGAGTTTTATTCCATCGATAAGGGATTGTTAGCGTTTCTTATTCAAGATTTGTAATCACAGATGGCTCGTACTAAGCAGACCGCACGTAAATCAACCGGAGGCAAGGCTCCAAGGAAGCAACTCGCCACTAAGGTCTATATCTTTCTCTCGCATTATCAATCAAAATTTCATCTTCTTTCTTTTGCTCGAGTTCTAATTAAATTTATTTTGATTTATAGGCTGCACGAAAATCTGCCCCTACCACAGGAGGCGTGAAGAAGCCTCACAGATACAGACCTGGCACCGTCGCTCTCAGGTTTGTTTACCTTGTCTTTGCGTTGATTCAGTCTGATTGTTACTTGAATTTAGGTTAAACGTAATAACGATTGATTATGTGGTGAAAAATGCAGAGAAATCCGCAAGTACCAGAAGAGTACAGAGCTGCTCATCAGGAAGCTTCCGTTCCAGAGGCTGGTTCGTGAAATTGCACAGGATTTCAAGACAGATTTGCGTTTCCAGAGCCATGCTGTGTTGGCGCTGCAGGAAGCCGCAGAGGCATACCTTGTTGGTCTCTTTGAGGATACCAACCTGTGCGCCATTCATGCCAAGCGGGTGACCATCATGCCCAAGGACATTCAGCTTGCCAGGAGGATCAGAGGGGAGAGGGCTTAATAATAGCAATAATGAATGCTCTCTTATTGTAATGTATGGACTTAAAACTCTGTTTAGCTAATTAGTGTTATTGTTTGCTCGTGTCTTTAGGATCGACCATACATTTCTCTTTTCATGTTGATGTTTCAGTTTTTGGATAGATTATCCTACGGGTGTTGGATTTGCTTCGTTTGATATATATACTCTATTAACAAGTGCACTTCCCTTCTGCTCTTTTATGTTTTCTTGTTTTGTTTCATCCCAACTGGATGAATTAGGAAGTTCTAGCTTTGTTTGACATCTCTGCATCATTTTAGGCTATGGATGTCAAAGTCTTAAGCAAACCGTGCTTCAAATTGAAAAGTCTTTGTTTTGTCCTCGTTAGCGTTTTGGCTAAAAACTAACATGCTGATGAAAGTTTCACATGAAATAGGAAATTAAACAGCTTTAATTATATGGAGTAAATAATTAAGGGTACGATTTGAGTTATCATAAAACACAGTTCAACTACTGTTCAAGTTCTGTATTAAGGCTGACCTGGCTCTGGTCATGTTTCAGATTAACCTAGACAATTGAAAATATCCCACATGGAACTTGGAAGTAGTAGTTCCACAAACTTGCCTTGCCGATCTATTACTTGACTGATAAAATTCACCTAGTTTTTTTTATCTATCGAACGCCAGGTAATGCCTGAGGTATGTGTCGTGAAACTCGTGATTGTGAAATGTCGGTGGTTGTATGGTTGACGCGGTGGTAGGGATGGCGATGGAGTTGCAAAGTAGTGTGGCCGTGTGGGGTGGTGAGTAATGGTGATGACAACAGTCACAGGTAGAGGTATGGTGGAGGTGGCAATTTCAATGGGGCGGTGGCGTAATTTATGCAATAGAACTTTAGCAAATGTCTCGTTATCATGTAACATTTAATCATCGTAAATGAAGTTAAAACAATAGCTTTGGAAATTTGTTAGACGTACCACATCTGGTAATACGAAGCACATCTACCTTATATAACCCTCGTTTTTTTTTTTTACCTTTTTCTCTCCCTTCCCCTTAAAAAGCACATCTACCTTATATAACCCTCGTTTTTTTTTTTACCTTTTTCTCTCCCTTCCCCTTAAACCACACTCTTTCTTCTCCTTCATCATCTTTTTCATTCCTCTCTTTTTCGTCTTTTACGTTTTATTAACCAGCCTTTCATTATCATCATCATCTTCCATCACAATTTTCATCACCATCTACCATCACAATTTTCATTAGAAACTCATCCACCACAATTTTCATCACCATCTACCATCACAATTTTCGTTAGAAACTCATCAGAATATTTGTAGGAAACTCGCCTGAACATTAGGGAAAATTGGGTCGCCTGAATTTTTTTATGTACACTGATATTGATTTTCTATCAGTTCTGTGTGCACAGACAAATGATGTTAAAAAGGCGACGTTAAAAAAGGTCATGTTTAGAATGCATAGAAACATATGTCGGTGTGCATGGACAATAATTGTATATACAAATACTTTTTATTTATACAGACAACTTGCACAATAATTGTATATATACAAATACTTTTTATCTATACAGACAACTAGTGTCTGTATTTGTACTTTTTTGTATGTCTCAGTGACAAATAAAGAGGATGTAACCCAGAATGTACATCAAGAATGATTGTTCATCATAAAGGTTCCTCATGTGATAAGGTAAAACAAATAAATGAAGTAAGATTTAAGAGTGAGAAAATTGAATTGCTGGATAATACCCATGTTTAAAAAACCGACCCGACCCGAACAAAAACCCGGTTTGGTTTTTACAAAACCCGAAAATGATCAAAACCCGGAAAAATCCGGTTGACCCGGGAAAACCCAGTCCGGATCCGGACCCAAGAAACCCAAAAAAACCGGGAAAACCCGGTTTTAGGTGTTTTTCCAAAAAAAAAAATCTTTTTAATTTTAATGTATTTTTTAAATCAATAAAATTGCAATTTCAATACTGTTGGGATATTGGGCCGAAGGCTCAAATACCCGGCCCAATAGTCGGCGAGGGTCCAGACGAAGAACAGACCCAGTAAGACCTTTGTACCGAACGGGATCCAGAAAAGCATGAAGGATTATACCCCGAACGGGGATCGGGTCAAACATGATACTTGGATTAGAAGAATAATGATATCAGCATGGGCTATCATTCCGTTGCCCGAATGAGTAGTCTGCAAGTGGCAAGTAGCATTTAATGCTACGATATGGCATCAGCAAGTGGGAGCATGGTATCTAAGTGGCAGAAAACAATAGCCAATCGGGTTCGGCCACATCATCACCCCACCTACCCCCTTTCTAGTATAATTAGGGGTATTAATTACATTGTAAGAGTTAGCATTTGTTTACTCTCAAGCTCTAATAGCATTCTAGCTCTTGTATTAGCCTTTGGACCGTAACTCTCGTTTAGCCTTTCCGTGTAATTGTTATTACAGCCTTTCCGTGTAATTGTTATTACTGCGTTAATACAAGCTGAGTTATTTGAGTAGTTGAATCAGATTTTATATTTTCTTTTATACACTTTACTTTAGCAAATCGCACCCTAGATCCAAGGTTGGTGTTGGGCCTTCGGGTCATCCAGGACTAAACCTCAACAAATACCCTAAAAAGAAAAACTATGTAATATATTTATATATTTATTTAAGAATTAAAATCATGCTAAATTCTAATATAAATGCACGATACAAAGAAAAATATCATTATACTAGCATTGCCACGCCCTTTGCGCGAGGGTCAATGCCCAATGGGGGAAATGTGGTGCGAAAGTAGCGCAAAATTAATCACCGAAAGAAGAAAGGAAATTATTGTGGAGAAAGGTGTAGAAATCTGGAGAACGAAAAAAATTGCAAAGACGATGAGGCTATATCCGGATAACAAACATCGCTTTAAAATGGGTTATTGTCACATTGCTATATTCATCCATCTTAGAAAATGGCAAAAATGGACGAAGATAGCAAACATCGATTTAAAAACTCATTGACAGAAAATGGATGGTCCTAAAGAAAGGCTAAAAATGTTTCAAACAGAAACATGCATATTCACTTATTACTCCTCATAGAACCATGGTTAGGACTCATTGCTATACACCCTCACAGAACGTAGCGGGACGAAGGACAGATAAAACCAGAATAAAGATGATCCTGTTTGGAGGAATGAGAAAAAAAGTGCTCAAAAATTTTACAAAGAAGGACAAAAAAAATGAGGTTTTAAAGATAGTAAATACCTATCTAACTGAAATTTTATGAGGAACATTATATTTCCAATCCAAAAAAAAGAAACTAAGGATTGAAAATTTTGTCTACTAATTATGAAGACTCTTTCTTTATTAATAATTATTTTAAATCGATCCCATATGAAATTGAAACTATGAAATTGAACTTCAAACCTGTATTCGCGATCGAGTTAGGTCCAATTGATGTTCTGCATAGTAATTTCCACTTCAAAGCCAATGGCTATGTCCTTTCCCAGTCCACCAGTCATCCTTCGTTAGCTATCATTTCCATACTCTACATGTTCAGAAAACCCAGAGACATAAACTACTTGTTACATAAACTATACAACTTTTATACGTTATACTTCACTTATTTAACTACTGTTTCTAAGTTTGATCTAATGCATTTAAATCTTTTCTACCTTTTAAGATGAAAGACATGATCAATGATCACAATTTTGCAACCAATTTTGTAGGAAATCCAATACTATTTTATTAACATATCCTGGGTGTAAGTACTAACCAAGATACCTACACAAGAAATACTAGCCATCAAGCAGAATATGTGGTAGAGGATGAAAATCCATACACTTGACTGATGAACCTTGGTTTAAAGTCATAATGACATCTTTTGGCAAATCATCAGTTGAACATGAACTTTGACCATGACACTGACTGGCAAGGAGAGGAAAATATTGATCAGGAAACATGTAAATTCATATTAAGTAATTTTATGCATGCTACATTACAAGATTGAGGAAAAATAAAAGAGCAATCAAATGCTACATTATGACGTTGAAGCATTTATTACATTGTCTGTATTAAGGGTGAAGTGGTGAACATGGTTTATGTCCAGCCTCAATTTTGGTCAAGGAATTGCAACCAGAACTTAGCTACTAAAAAAGAATACACAGAGGTCCAATTTAATCATTGTAATATATAAAACGAATACAGATGAGTACATTTTCTTTTTGGGAAATACACAACTTAGAGGCGTTAAACGACACATAGCAAGAACATTTCTATTTGAACATCAATTCACAACCCGTGCAGAGCTACTAAAAAGAAATACAGTGGAGAGGTTAAGTTTTCAAAAAATATAGGCATTAAACGACACATAGCAAGAACAGTTCCGCCTGTGCGAGCGAACCGGACTGCTTAGAGATATGATGCAATGTTTGACAATGCTAGTCGTGAGAGCCTCTGTGAAATATTATATTAAACTAATGGAGGCCAATAATTTGTTTACTACGGAGCTCTTTACTTTTTTCTTTGTTAAGAATAATTGACTCAGTAGTCATTACTTAAAATATAATAATATACGTAGTAATATACTACTCCCTCTGTCGAAAAACAGAGTGTCATTTTCCAGGCTCATTATTGTCCCAAGTAGAGTGCTCGTTTCAATAAAAGAAACTAATTTTCATTGAAACTAATGTAAACTTTCTAGAAGTGTTTTAAATAGGTAAAATATGTTACATTTAGTGAAATAAAAGTAAATGTGCAAATGTGGAAATGGTAAAAAAATATTTACCATACCGAAATTGAAATGTGCCTGGGGCTGTACAATTTAACTATGCAAAACACTTTTCATTTGTTATTGTATATATGTTGTAATGTTACACGTCACTTTGGCCGATGAAGTTTCAAATTTGAGGTTAAGTGGAACCTGTGTAAATTGTAAGGCTTTATGAAGGATTGACGGATATCTTATATCAATTTAGAATCCATAATTCCTGATATTGTAATTGAGAATCTAAGCATCAAACAGACATATATCTATGTTAATAATGATTAAAAGAACAAAACAAAGATAAGACAATTGTCATGTACAACAAGTAATGAACATTAAGTTAAGGATTTGACATGCAGGCACTTTTCCTTCTTCCTTTCATTCCTCTTAGCTGCTTTCGACTTGGCTTTTGGAGCATCCATTACAGGGTCATACCCAGGTGGCGTTTCCCGCAAAGCTGCCATTTCTTTTTTGCACTGTCATCACCGCTTTTTTTATTATTTTGCTTCTTCTTCTTGTAACATGTGTACAACCTTTAAGATTTTCCT